GGGGAAAACCACGGTCGTTTGGTTTGGTTTACGGCATATCAACTTCAATGGGTTATTTAATGCCGACAAAATTTTTAGGATAGATTCGTATGAATAGAATATGTATTCTTTGGTTTAGATTCGTTTGATTTATTTTGTTTTATGGTATATCAACCTCAATGGGTTATTTAATGCCGACAACATTTTTAGGATAGATTCGTATGAATAAAATATGTATTCTTTGGTTTAGATTGGTTTGATTTATTTTGTTTTACGGCATATCAACCTCAATGGGTTATTTAATGATGGCAATATTTTTAGGATAGATTTGTATGAATAGAGTATGTATTCTTTGGTTTAGATTCGTTTGATATGCCATAAAACAAAATAAACAAATCTCAATGGGTTATTTAATGCCGGCAATATTTTTAGGATAGATTCGTATGAATAGAATATATATTCTTTAGTTTAGATTGGTTTGGTTTATTTTGTTTTATGGCATATCAACCTCAATGGGTTATTTAATGCCGGCAATATTTTTTATTGCTGGTAATATTTTTTTTCTTCAAAAATGTATCGCTGGAAATCTTTGTCTCTAATCTCATTTTATAGATAACAATTTTGTGAAAAGGAACACAGATGGGAGGAAGTAGGCGTCGGAGAATGAACAGGGTAGACAGCCGCTGGACAGTGCATCTCCCCTGGCTCACTTATAGCAAATAGGTTACAACCCAAGAATAAAATCTGGTTTACTGCTAGAAATTGTTTTGTTTGAAGGGTACTTTTTAATCCACAAGTGTTTGACTGGAAGAAGCTGCACCCTGTCAACAAACCTGGTGTCTGGTCTGAGTTGCAATGTAACATTGATAAGCCATAAAAAAAAAAAGTCAATCAATCAATTGTATGGAAAATGGAAACAAAAAGGGGACACTTATACTTAACATCAGGAAGGGACAGTTGAAATTCCTAGGACACATCATGAGGAAAGAGGGCTTGGAACATCTAATACGAGATAAAATGAAGGCGAGAGACAAAGAGGAAAACAACATATAACATACTTAGTGAGCTTATAGCAATAGGTGCTGTTAGAAATTGTTCTGTTTTTTCTTTGTGGGTAACAATCTGACCAAAGGGCACTTTTTAAGCCACAATTGTTTGACCTGAAGAAGCTGCAGCCTGTCAACAAACCTGATGTCTGGTCTGAGGGCTTGGAACATCTAATACAATATAGATTGAAGGCAAGAGACACAGAGGAAAGCAACACATAACATACATCATGAGCTTATAGCAGTAGGTGCTGTTAGAAATTGTTCTGTTTTTTCCTTGTGGGTAACAATCTGACCAAAGGGTACTTTTTAAGCCACAAGAGTTTGACTGGAAGATGCTACACCCTGTTGACAACCCTGGTATTTGGTCTGAACTGCACCACAACATCAGTTTGACATTGTGTTTTTTTTTGTTGTTTTTCTTCATTTTTAGATGGCAGCTTAATTTTGGGCACTGGTGGCGATGACAATGCATTTTTTGTGACGTCTTTTTTACTTTCTCCGCCTGATTCAACAAAAGAAGATAAACTGATCAATTGTCAATTTTCACTCAAAAATCAATTTGGACATGCAGCACAAATTACAGGTAAGCTAAATCAATATCTATGTGGGTCATAGTTTTAAAAAAATCACTGACACAGCATTTCTTTAAGGGAGTGCTTAACATTTCTCGGCCTGACTTCATGCATCTACTAAATTGTTGGCTTATGGCCATATCACATTGAAACATTGGTTCTCATTTGATCCCCAAAGTTATGCAATGTCGAGCTGAGTCAGTACTTTTACGGCAAATATTCTTTTCATATCCTTGATCTTCATTTTGTTTTAATATATTTATACATACACTATTGACCAAATGTATGTTTTGTCCTCAATTGAGCTATGAAGAGTGAGGAGCAATAAGCGGTTAGTCTTTTTTTGTTGTTTCTTTATTAACAGAATTACTTGGTTAAAAGAGAAAAAATACTTTTGCACCCCTTTTCTTTATATATTTTATACTAAGGTTCATCAATTACAAGACCTAAGAGCCACTCAAAGTAGAGGGTTATTGCATGAGATGTGTGAAATGAGTATAAGAGGAGGAAGTAGGAAATGAACCATATGAGGATATGGAGAAGGAAAGTTCGTTCTCTGTGTCTTAGTGAGCTTATAGCAGTAGGTGCTGTTAGAAATTGTTCTGTTTTTCCCTTGTGGAAAAAGTTACTTTTTAAGCCACAATTATTTGACTGGAAGATACTGCACACTGTCGACAACCCTGGTGTTTGGTCTGAGTTGCAGCACAAAATCATTTTGACAGTGTTTTTTTTGTTTTTCTTCATTTTTGGATGAAGATGACAATACAAAGAAATTTGTTATCTGTAAATCTATAAATATAAATCTATATCTATCTATTGTGCATCTTTCCCACCCCACGCCTATGCCTAATCTCTACTTTGCTCACTTATAGCAGTAGGTTACAACCCAAGAATAAAATTTGGTTTACTGATAGAAATTATTGTGTTTTTCTTTTGTGGGTAACGGTCTGGCTGAAGGGTACTTTTTAAGCCACAATTGTTTGACCTGAAGAAGCTGCACCCTGTCGATGAATCTGGTATCTGGTCTGAGGGCTTGGAACATCTAATACAAGATAGATTGAAGGCAAGAGACACAGAGGAAAACAACACATAACATATTTAGTGAGCTTATGGCAGTAGGTGCTGTTAGGTGCTGTTATTTTTGTGGGTAACAATCTGGTCAAAGGGTACCTTTTAAGCCCCAAGAGTTTGACCAAAAGAAGCTTACACCCTCTCAACAAACCTGGTGTTTGGTCTGAACTGCAACACAACATCATTTTGACATTGTTTTTTTTTTTGTTGTTGTTCTTCATTTTTAGATTTAGAATTGTTGGCTTACGGCCATATGATATTGAAACATTACATTTTGTGTTGTCTTATTTACCTTCTCTGCCTGATTCACCTAAAGAAGATAAACTAGTCAATTGTCCATTTCCACGGAAAAATCAATTTGTTTGATGAGGCAGATATCTTTTTTCCACTGTAGGTTGCCATTTCTTTCTGCAGTAGACCAGTTACCATCCAAGGCTATAGAAGCAGGTCTGTCCTGCTATTTACCCATAGCTGGGGGAGAAGAAAAATAGATTCATACCTTTCCCAAAGGGTATTAGCACATAAGTGAATGTAATGGATTTGATTGGAATTTGAACTCAGCCCTCCATTTTTCAATCTTTCTTTTTATCTATTATTCCATTATTTGTATTATACTTTTCTGGATGAAATTATTTCCTTTTGTTTCTTTCTCTGATTTTCCTTAACACTATCATAAACATAATTGGACTTCCTTTTTAGGATTTCCACCAAATTTTTTTAACTATTTTGTTCACTTTTCTTTTCCAGGTCTCTTCCTTCCTTCTTGAACATCTGTGTCTAGACCATGCATGCAATTTACCTTTCATTTCCTTCATACTGTTATCTGTAATAAAGAGAACATGATGAAGTTGGTAGTACTCAATTTTGTCTACCATTTTCATCATGAATGATTTTTGTGGCTTTTTATGCTAAGATGATGTGTCTTGGTGTTCTTGAAGATTCCACTTTCTTTGAAGATTTAGACATTTTTTTAATTATGTTTTCTGTCCTGGTTTACATACTTTCTTTCGAGATGGTTCTTGCTGTTTTGCACTTAAGAAAGTTTTTCTTTTTTGATTGGTTCTCTGTTCATTGCTGTTACCAGTTGTACACCGCTTGTCTAGATTTATCAGCATTTTATTCAGGTTTAAGGGACATATCATTACAAGACTGCATTATGTTGGTGTAGTGATCTGCATAAATAGCTAGAATTGAATGTTCCTTTTCTTTATTTATGACTGTCATTTCTGCTTTTCTATCATTTATACATGCATTATGTATTATAAATGAAAATCTAAAGAATGTAATCTTACAAAATTATTTTTAAAAAATATTTCCCTATTTTTTTTATGACTGGACCATTTAACTATCAGTTACTCAAGGACATTTTCAAAGGAAAAGATCATAAAGACAATGTTAACAAATTCACTGTCTGATTAGAATTTGGAAGTGACTTTTTCAAGGTTAAAGATCTTTAAGTTTGAAAAATTTGAGATCAGGTTAAAAATTTGCTGTCTGAGGAGAATCTGGAATCATATATGTTGCCTTTTCAAAGGAATTGTTAGATGAATTGGATAAAGAAGCAATTATTGGAAAGATTCCAACAATCATCCAGTGAACACAAATGATTGTTGTTAATGCTATGGGACATGCAATGCTCTGTTGTGCTTTTGAACTATCTGCTAATGTGTAAATTGTCTACTTAACAAAATATATAAAAATATCAACCAATTACATCAAAATTAAAAAAAAATGAAAAAATACAATTGTAGATGGAGTAATGTATATCATTGAGGGATGAGGAATTAGAGCCAAGTTCAAATTCCAGTCAAATCCATTACATTCACATATGGGCTAATAAAGGTTGGGAAAGGTTTGAATCCTCTTCTTCTCTCAACTATGTTATTAAATAGCAGGACATACTGATTTCATATGCTATTTGGATGGCAACTGGTCTACTGCAGAAATATTACTTTTGGAAAAAATCTGCCTTGTCAGTCATGTATCGAAAGATATATGATTGTCCAAAATGTATCATGCATGGTACATAAAGAAACTGACCTACCGCCAGTAATATAATTACATTCTAGTTTGATTGGTTTTCTGCCATTTATCAACCCTTTGCAGATTATTTAAACCAGAAAATATTTTTTAGATTGTAAGAATTTCTTTGAGACAACAATGTTTTAGTAATACCCATCCTACTAATTAACCCATAGCTGGGAGGAGAAGAGGTAAATTAATATCTTTTATTTGCACATAAGTGAATATATTTGAATCCAATATGAATTGGAACTTGGCTCTTCATTAATTCAGGACCATTATCCATTACACCAACCACACAAACCAGCTTACAGCACCTGGTATTCCCAAGCAGTCACCCATCTAGGAACTGACCAGGTTCAATATTGCTTAACTTCAGGGATCATACAGGAAACCAGTGTTTCATTGTGATGTGGCCATAAGACAAAAAAGTATGTGTACAGTGTAATTATTAAGAAATACATTTTTTTTCCACAGAATTTTTTTTTTTTAAAATTTTATTCATTATTAAAATTAAATGATAACATAAAAGATTTTGATGGACCCTCTTTGTCTCCTGAAACCAATCATTTTAGACCTTGTTTTGAAGACAAAATTTTTTTTTACTTCAGCTGACGACTTAGTCTGTTGTTTTCTATCTATACTAAAAGCATAGTAGGAAAATATAGTAACAAAATGGATTTTTTGAATAAACAGAAATATTAAATTCTGTTTGAAAGTTGTATTAACTGGAGAGTACAAAATTTCTAATCCCTATAAATGAGTCAAAATTGAAAATTTTCTGTTAATAATTTGACACATGAATCTATTATTAAAAACTTTTCTTTCCACTGCATTATTTTTTTAAAGCTTCTCTATTACAAAATCTGTCTATATTTCTGAGATGAGGTATTATGTACATTATTTACATTATTCAAGGACACATGGCACAGTGGATAAAGGCGTTGGTTAGATCCAGTGACAGGATGGAGGTCAAAGTTCAATATTATGTTAAGGCAGTGGAGAACTTTCAGAGGGAAATTAACAGGCGATAACTGATAACTGACATCCATTAAACATGCAAAAGTGGAACTAGAATAGTCTACCCCAATGAGTGAAATAAAGGGTTCAGTTCGACATTCCAACCACCTGAAGAGACAGTTGTGTACAACAGCCAAAACGTTGTGATAAATATGGAATACAAAAGATGAGGACAATAGTCTGAATAATGTAAATAGTGTCCAAACTATTGCATGGGCTGGTAATTTCACTCATGGTCATTTGGTTTGCCATACAAGGATATAACAACAGAACTGAAAAATTCACTGGAAATGCTATCATTCATTTATCCAAAATAAAAAAGGATAAAATTTTAAATATAACCAAAATCACCTCCAGAATGTTAAAGATTAAATGCTGTAAAATTTCATTTTTTATAAAAAATCTTAATTAAATATTATTTTAAGTTGAAATGAAAATCTAATTAGGATATCCTATTTGCCGTTTAATTTTTTTTTAAATAAAAAAGATTATTATTTTATATTATCTGAAATTGATTAATTTAATAGAATATGTTTGAATAAGTCACCAATTATTTTGAATTTTGTTTAACTTGTTATTTTTTTAGCATAAATCTTTAGATAGATTCACTGGTTCTTCTAAAAAAAATTTAACAATTTTTTCAATGTTGAATGGAAGAAATACTTTTATTGAAATAGAAAGTAAAAACTGACAGGAATGCTGTCTTTATCCCCAACATTTTGACATGGTCAAAAACTGAGACATGCTTTTTTAAAGTTCAAAAACAATTAATTTTTTGCATTTCTCTTCATCTAAATTTGAAGATTTCAATGCAATAATCTATTTCACCATTTTCTCTCTCTACATTCAAACTGACTTATATCTGATTCCACCATGGTAAACAAAGTTCTTGTGGCATTAATTATGAAATGGATAAACCCAATAAGAACTAACCCTTTTAATCCCCAAAATAATTATATATATATATATATATCTCTATCTATAAAAGGCAGGATGTGTGTGTGTGTGCGAAACAAGCTTGTCTCCAAGATCAATTTTTGAATAGTTTTAACCAAAATTTTACCAAAATTTACATGCACATGCTCCAAGTTAGTGGGAAGGCCAAGAGGCTTTTTTTGCATTTCCCAACTCCCATCGATAGTGGAAATAATCGATTTTTTTCATGCTTCTACGGCAGTTTTCATGTAGTTTGCAGCCATTTTCTACTGGCCAGAGTGAGAGCCTATAGCTGGCTGCCACGAATAGGCAGGAAGATTCTATTGGCCAGCATGAGAGCCAACAGCTGACTGACACGAATGTTAACTAGTATGCTAGCATGCAAAAAAAATCAATAGCTGCATTTGTCACAAGTGGGAAAAATTTAAATCTGCATGGCACTTTACTCAATTGGCTCACAAGCTTGCTTAAACTCAACGTTGATTCTGATTCCGCAGAACTGGGTTGGGTGTGAAAAAATTTGTTGTTAACATTCTTTTTTCATTCGGTTTTTCCAGTTACGAGTCCTTTTTTTTAAAGCTGATCGTTTTGTGTTCATTTTGTTTAGTTTTTTTTCGTAACAGATTTAATGTTTAGTATAGAGCTTAGAAAAAATTTGCAGTGTGAGATAGGCAAAGAAATAAGGCATGTAGCAACATCAGCACGGCAAAGGGCACTCCTTTTTAAAGGCAAGGAACATTAAAAAATATTTTAAGTCAAGTGATATTAATTGCTGTATGAGTCTTATGATTTTTGAATCAAGCAAGGTCTTTGCATGGGCCATGCTGTTAGTATATATATAAAAAAACATCAGATTTTTTATATATAGTGGTCAATATTAAAAATATTAAAATAGTATGTAAAAATATCAGCATTAAAATTTATGTCTCAAAAGATTATTTAACTTTAAATATCAATTTATTTTTTTGTTTTTTCAACTTTAAAAGTTTGTTTAATAATGTAAATGTTATTATATTTGAATTTAAAAACATTTAAAAAGCATTGAACCCTTGAAGTCAGGAAAAACAACAAAAAATCAATATCTAAAGTTAATGTAATCCTTTATATATATATATATATATATATATATAGTGACATGTGTATATTGTATTTTATATTTAGTTTGAATATTTTCATTCAAATATGTTTCATTGAATAATATAGACATATGTCTATTTATTTTATAATAAATTTTTTATGTTCTCTAATCACATTTTTGATGTTAAGATGAAATTCATCAATGAATATTTGCATAGTTTTTTTTACCCAATTAGTTTTGATCACTTATGAGATCTTGTTACTAGTTGAATCCATGGAAGACAAACTCATTTAACTATGTTCGTTGTGAGATTTTTTGACTTTTAAAAACATGTGAATATGTTCTGATGCAATTATTTTTCAATTTTATCCAATAGGTATGGAATCTTTTCTAAAATCATTCCAATATTTCTAACCAGAAAAAAAAAAATATATATATATATATATAAAATTATAATTATTTTTCTTTTTAAAAATATGATTACATTTGACACAGAAATTTCTGTTTCAAAACTTGAACGAAAGTTAATCCAGAGTTTTGTTTCTTCTATCTATCTTCTATCTATCTATCTATCTATCTATCTATCTATTATCTATATATATATATATATATATATATATAAGACAATTGGAAAATATTTCTTAATCATTACGTCTGCATTTTTCGTCAATCCAAATTTATCAACTGCAGAAAGTTTAAATAAAAATGACAAAGAGTTATTTAAATTCAAATATTAAAATGGGGACCCTCCTGTAAAAAAATACAAAAAAAAAAAAAAAAACATGCATATATATAAAAGGTTAATGGTCAGATACTCAATCTATGAGTTCAAATGGATTAAGGAACTTTGTTCCTGGTCAAACTAAATTAAATAAATAATTACATCAGTCACATGACTACACCCCTATTCTACATTACACCTATCTGACCACAGCTCTGTTAGCACCCATTTAAATACACACACAAACTTAAAAGACTCCATCTGAAACATACTTTAGAAAATACAAACATAATAACCTCATCCGCATGTAAAAAAAGATTTAAAATAATGGAAGCCTTAATAATAAAAATAAAAAAGCCAATACTTAATAATACAACTATGAACTCAGCCACAATCTATGTGTTCAGAAAATAAAATGTCTATCTATAACACACTAAAAACATACAAAAATTTACACATTCAATTAAATTGAAATAAAAAAATCATTCTTGATAATGGCTGAATCTTTAAATCAAAGCGCTCAGAATTATAGAACATTTGGACAGTTAAATAAAAATACTCTGTGTCTAAAAAAAAACATTTGTTAAAAAAAAAAAAAAATTAAATAAAAAATAATTTTCTTCCTTATCTCTTGTTTTAAAATGCATAAATATATATATTATATATTTATATATATGGGTGGGGAAACAATATATACATTTTTTATATATCAAGAAAAATTTTACAGAAAAAACTATGACAAAGTGGAAAAAAAATTTTACATATTATTCTTTTTCATCCTTTTGACTTTTTTTGGACTAAAGTGATTTTTACATTGATGTGACTATACATATCACAAAGTGAAAATTTGTCAACTTATAGTTACTCTTCATTTGATGTTTGTTGAATAGCAACAAAAAACACACAGAAAAAAAAAATAATAACATCAAATTTTCTACAAAGATCAAATTCCTAGTAACTATTAGCAAAATGAATTTTCATGGAAACATCAAAAACATACGCAATTCCAGTTGGCAAAAAAACAAGAAAATTTAAATTAATTATTTATTATAAAAAAAAATTATGTTCTTTCTAACCTCATAATCAAAAAATGATTCACCTGCAAAAAAACGTTACAAAGAACCAATATTATTTATGAATTCACATGTCCCTTCAAGGATTTTGTGTTTTTGACCAATCCTGATTTGTAAATAATTATATTGGATATAAAACAACATATTTTTTTTCTTCATGTTACATCTTTTGACCATTACTCTATTAGATCTCATTTAAATACAAATGGAAACCAAACAAGCTCTGTCTGTAACATAAATGTTGATAATACAAATATTTTAGCATCATCCTCATGTAAAAAAAAACTAAAAATAATGGAAGCACTATTAAAAAATTGAATAAGCCAACACTTTTAATACGGTTCAATGTGCTGACCATATTTGGAAAATAAAACATTCTTATAATTCTAGATACATACATAAAACAATAAATATATTCAGTTAAAAATAAAATAAAATTCATCTTTGATAATGGCTAAAATTTCAAAAAGTTGAGGAAAACAAAAGACAATTTTATATAATTTATATCCATCAAAAAAAAAAAATTATATGAATTAAAAAAAGAAAAAAAACTCAAAGGGAATGGTAACATATATGCAAAAAACATACAGTGC